CAAAAGAATTCTGTTCTTTTATAATTTAAAATCATTATAGCATCGAGAAATCAACATTTTAATATTATTTTGTTCTTTTAGAATAGATTTAACTAGAAATCCGGGAAATTGTTTATTAAGAATTCGGGAAATTAATTAAACTTTATTTTCTCTTATTTAACAAATAAAGATTTTAGAAATAATTTAGCATTTAGTCTTCATAAGATAATTTTTACTTTCAGTGATTTATTTTGTAAGTTATGAAAATGAGTTTTGTTCTGAATTGCGGATTATACTCAAAAACGGGAAAGTGGGTTTTGCAACAATGTTTCAAATTCAGGATATGGAGAACCTGACATTATCTTGAAAACGGTCAAGGGATTTAATATAAAAAGACTTCTTTTATAATTTTGATTCCAGAAAAAAGTTTTAAATTGGGAATTTTTTTCCTGGTTTTGTAAAATTTTGGTTATAGTTTTAATTATTGACTTTTACTCTCGATATGGGCTGGGATCTTAAACAGTCTTTCAATTTGTGCTCATTGCTAACACTCAGTGTTAGCAATGGGACTAATGTCCCTTGACAAAAATCTACATTTTTTTGTCAATAATTAGTGAATATAAAGTTAGTAGAGTTAAAATAGGCAGTGCTGAAGAAACAAAGTAAAATAGCTGCAGTGCAGGGGAGGGGGATTAAGTTCAAAATAAGGGTGCAGGGAGGGGGGTATACAGGGGGATTTTAAATGATGAGGGGGAATATAGAAGTATGCCGGGGAATTATAAAGATATCTACTAAAATTTCTCTAGAAGTATTTAACATAAAATGGAATATCCGTGTTTGTACCGAATGAAGAAAAGCTCGCGAATATTTATTTTTAAGGTTTCTAGAATGGAATTGAGTCTTTGCAACAAATTTTAATTTTTAATTCCTATATCTTTACAACCCAATTTAGTAGACCTTAGATATTTCAAACTATGAATTCTGTTGTATCAAAGAATCTAAGTTTAAAATATTAATAGTTTACGCCATTAGATTGCAAAGATATAGGGATTAGAACTCTTTTGAGTCTGTGGCAAAAACTCAATTCCTTTCAGTTCAACCTTTCTAGACTATATTTGCGTAGTTCTATTAAAATACAGTTCAACCTTTCTAGACTACATTTGTATAGTTATATTAAAATACAGTTCTACCTTTTTAGACTACATTTGTATAGTTCTATTAAAATACAGTTCTACCTTTCTAGACTACATTTGTATAGTTCTATTAAAATACAGTTCTACCTTTCTAGACTGCATCTGTATGGTTCACTTAAAGCTCTATTAGCCTACAGTTCTATCTTTCAAGTCACCTTTACTTTTCTAGACTACATGTGTATGGTTTGTTCTATTTTCTATTTTCTAGACTACATTTTTATGGGTAAAGCTCTATTAGACTACATTTATACATTTCGAGACTAAATCTGTATGGTTATATTGAAGCTCTATTAGACTACATTTATACTTTTCTAGACTAAATCTGTATGGTTATATTAAAGCTCTATTAGACTACATTTATACTTTTCTAGACTAAATCTGTATGGTTATATTAAAGCTCTATTAGACTACATTTATACTTTCATAGACTAAATCTGTATGGTTATATTGAAGCTCTATTAGACTACATTTATACTTTTTCAGACTAAATCTGTATGGTTCTATTAAAGCTCTTTTAGACTACATTTATACTTTTTCAGACTAAATCTGTATGGTTCTATTAAAGCTCTTTTAGACTACATTTATACTTTTTCAGACTAAATCTGTATGGTTCTATTAAAGCACTATTAGACTACATTTGAATTGTTCAATTGAAGCTCGATTAGACTACATTTATACTTTTCTGGACTTAAATATATTTTTCTAGGCTACATTTTTATGGTTCTTCTATTGAAGATCTATTAGACTACAGTTATATCTTTCCAGAGCTGGGAACTTATGAATGGGATACCATTAATCCCGACTGCTTAATCCTAATATCCAATGTAGACACTTTTGATTTCTTGCTTGATCCACTCTTTCTTGGATATTTTTTTAAACCTTTTTTCTAGAATCCATTGGTTCTGAATCAGCCAGTATAGAAGGGCATCTGAAAAACCGTGGGAAGCCTCCCCCCACCCCCCCAGATCCTTTGTTATGTAACCAAGCCTATACTCTACAATATTACTCCCCCTATAAAGTAAACTACAAAACAAACGCAAGTGGCCTAGATATAATGTATATGTAATCTAGTAACATAAGATATAGGGTGGGGGGAGGGGGGGGGTGTTTGCCACTACATATCCCAGGTCAAAGGGGACTATACACTACAGCTGGCTAAGAGGGAAGGGGTGGGGGTTAAGTATAGGGCTTATAAGAACACCTGTCTACCCAACCCCCACACACACTTACATACAACCTGCAAACTCAAAATCCAAAAAACTAGAAGGTGTATATCGAAAGTATATTGTATATTGTATGCAGTGGTACTTAAGTCTTCTATTCGTTTACAAAATTTCCTAACTTTTAAATTCTTCGTTAATTCTCGTATCTTTTACTTACAAAATTGCTTTCGTTTCTCTTTCCTTATTCATTAGGTAAATGTATATTTTTTTCAATTAAAATATCTTCATAAAACCTATTTCTTTCAGACAAACATATAAATGCCTTCAAATAATTTTTCTCTATTATCCTTTTTTTCCAATGTTCATACAAAGAATGTTGCCCCTGCTAAACTTATGGACAAATTACTGGATATGAGTTTAATTCTTAAAGTGCATACTGGAAAAGTAATGCTTCGGATATATTGTACAATATTTTTTGAAAATGTGATAATAAAACGGGGACAGCTTATGATATTTTCCAGGGGGGGGGGGAAATAATTGAAATCTTGCGCGGCGAATTTTTTTATCACCCACCCCCGGAATTTTTACATGGAATTTGGTCATTTTCATGTCAAAACCTTGAGCAGCCGGAGGGAAGGGGGGGGGGGGGTGTAACGTGGCAAATGTATTAGCAAAATTTAGATTTTTTATAAAAATATTAATTTATTTAGAGTGAAATAGTATACAAACTTTCTTTTGAATCTTTTCTTAAAAATCCAGATTTAGGGCTAGAAGGTGCCTGCTCTCCCTTCTTTCGCTCCTAATTTTTCCAGGGGAGGGGGGGAGGTCCCCACAATTTTATAGGGGAGGGGGAAGTCCCCGTAATTCTTTAGGGGAGGGGAGGTCCCCTCTTTCCCCCACATAAGCCGCCTCTGTAATATAACGATATCGCAAAATATGTATGTATAATATATACAAAAACATTATACATCATATGTTAGTACTACACATATGAGGGTAGGATGAGGATAAGAATACCAGCATTAGTGCAGGGTTGTATATTAACTTGATTTTCATAAATTATAAAAATAAACATTTGATCAACCAACCAAATACACAATACATATTTTAGAGAGAGGGGGGGGGGGTAACTAACTCTACACCCCTGGTAAAGTATAAACGGGTACCCGCACGAACAACTAATACAACCCAATATAAACTTGATAATCAATAGTTGGTGTTTATCTTAGAATCTGGCATAATTCTATACAGTACTAAGAGACAGACAAAACTTAATGATTATTTTTTTATTTAAAATACCAACCACAATATTTCATTCCAGTTGAAAATGGAAAATAAAAAGTCTTCATGTCCTAAACAGTTCTTTATTAAGAGAAAAAAAATTACTAAAAGGAACGATGAAATAAGTTCATTTTCTTTATTTTCGTAAACTATCAAAAAACATTACGTAAACCCGGCTTTAAGCAAACTCAATTTTCTATAAATATTCTGTTTAAGTTAATAATATGTTAACAGTAGAAATAACGGTGTTTTGTAGGATAACAATACACATGAATCATAAATAGATTGAACAAATATTATATTATAGCGTTTAATTGTTGAACTAGAGTTTTATATGTCAAAAGCCGAATTTTTACAACCCTTATAATTGAGGGTGAAGGGGAGGGGGGTGAAGTGTTAATGTGTTCAAGAACTTTATATGTGTTTTCTTTTATAAAAAAAATTATACCGTAATTCTCAAATCTCAATATTTTAATCTCTTTAATTGCTTTTCCCAATATTATGGTTTCTGATTAGTGAGAAATGATTTATTTAGGTACGACTGGATCAACTTCTGGTTCAGGTTGATATTGTGGTGTAAAGAATAAGTATTTGAACATAGTTCCACCAACCAACTACCTCATTTATTCAAGAAGTCCAATTTCTAGTCGTTTACTCATCGGTTCTAACCTTTTTACAACCTCTTCAACTCTTTTAGTACATGTAACGAGTTCCCCGACCCGACCCTATCTAGCCCAGTTACCATTTCCACTTCATGATCCACCTCGATCTGGTACCTTTTCCCCAATCTGGTCTCTATTTACCATATTTGGTCCCAATTTAACCTATTTGGTCCCAATTTACCCTATCTGTTCCCAATTTGGCCGTCTGGTCCTAATTTACCCTATCTGGTCCAAATTTTCATATCTGGTCCCTTTTTTCACTATCTGTTCCCTATTTTCACTATCTGACTCCTATTTCCACTATCTGGTTCCTATTTCCGCTATCTGATTCCTATTTCCACTATCTGATTCCTATTTCCGCTATCTGATTCCTATTTCCACTATCTGATTCCTATTTCCACTATCTGATTTATATTTTCACTATCTGATTTCTATTTCCACTATCTGATTCCTATTTCCACTATCTGATTCCTATTTCCACTATATGATTCCTATTTCCACTATATGATTTCTATTTCCACTATCTGATTCCTATTTTCACTATCTGATCACTCTCTGCTAAACCCCACTATTTCTTCGGTCAGTGTATAGCAATTCACGGCAGTACGCACCGAGAGCTAAGTTTAGAGGGTAACAATTATTTCCCACATCTGGTTTATATTTCTTCAACCCGGCCCCTAGTTCCCCGGCCCATGTCCCAACTTCCCCTATCTGGTCCCTACCTCGTCTTGTCGTCTTTCACGAAACCTCAAGTTCCTCGTCAAAGGCGGGGTTTTCCTGGGAGCCACGGGTGGACTGAATTAAAAAGTAATTAAAAATAATATAACTAAAATATTAAGTAAACAATAACAAAAATAATAAGAAAAGACAGCAACAACAACAATTGCAATTATAACAACAACAAAAATAAACAACAATTACTGATTGTTTAAAATAATATCTGAAATTCTCAACCTAATGTTCACAGTCTGTGAATCTGTTTGTATACAATAAACGAAAAAACTGCTGAACCAGTCGAGTCCAAATTTTTTGTAGCGGCTCGCATGACCCGTAGAAATTCTTATGGATTGTAGAAGTTAAAAAATGCTGCCAGATATTTTTGTTTTCTTAAACTATCAAGGTAAACAGAAATTTGAGCAAACATTTGTTTTCGGGTATATAAATGAAAGATAGTAAAAAAGTAATGGTGAAAGTACAAAAGAAAATAAAAGTACAATTACAAAAGTCAGGAAAAGTACAAGTGCAATAGTAAGGATAAGTACAGTTCATGAATAAATGAAAGTACAAATACAAGAGTACGTACAAGAGTAAAGTACAAGAGTACGTACTATAAAAAGAAAATGAATGTGAGAATATGAGGACTGGTTTAGAGCGTAATCATTTATCTTTTACAATCCTTTATATTTACAATGAAAATGGGAAGAAAAATTATCTTGTTAAAAAGAAAAGCTCAGATATAAAAAAGTTAAAGAAGCCCGTAGAAATGTTGCAAAGGTAAGAGAAATTTGTGGATATCAAACGTTAACAACAATCCAATGAAATATTTTTCCAAAGCTTAAATCAATCAATCAATCGATAATTGGTAATCTCCCAAAAACTATAAATAAATCGACCCCTCCCCCCCAAAAAACTGAAAATATTCGTAGTTTTTGAAAATATCAAAAAAGGGGGGAGGGGGGCACAAAACGTATTACTTTCCGGAAAATTTAAAATGTTCAAACATAGCTTAGAATTGTCGTAGAACGCTGATTTTTTTGCACGTAAACTCAAAATTATGATTTGTAACTTGAAAATTCATTTTTATAAAAAAAACAAGTAATCCCAGAACAGTTTTGCGAAAAAAACCTCAAATCCCCGCGCGCGTGCATTTCAGAAAACATTTGAGATTCTTAACCTTATCAATTTGGGCATTATTCAAAACAAAAGTAGCATGTGATGCATCAAACTACAGGTAAATTGGGACGAGGAATTCATTTCTATGGTCAAAACAGACATTGGAGCGTTCTGATCGGCGCACTTGTAGCCAGAAGTTACATTATGGGTCATCTTGCCACAAATTTTAAATGTCGTATGTCGATTATTAGGTAATTAGGCAAGGGGATTCTATTAATTCGGTTAAAAATGTAGTTCGATCACTTTGATCGGCGCGCAAGTAGCCAGCTATTATGTTTTGGGTCATCTAACTACATATTTTTCGAGTTGTATGTCAATTTAAAGCTTATTTGGCACGAGAAATTCATTTCCGATGTCAAATTAAATAATGGAGCATTCTGAACGGCGCGCTAGTAGCCAGCTGTTACGCTATGGACACTTAGCACAGGTTTGCATGTTGTATGTTGATTTATAGGTAATTTGGCAGCAGAAATTTATTTCTACGGTATAAAGAATATTGGGACATTATGGCAGGCGCGCTGTCAATACCTCTCGATAAGTTTTCCAATTGTTTGTTCTCAACTAGCTTGGGAACCCAGCGTTGCCCTGGGTGGTCTTATAGATACACCCGCCTTTATTTAATAAATTTTCAACGGCCGAAACTAAATTTTCGTTATGAAAAACGATCCACTCAACTTAGAATCAATTTAGAAACCAAGCTAAAAACATTTCCGTGGCTCTCCTGAAGTTATCCAATCAAAATGTGAGGCAAATTGGTCGAGGGAATCCTGAGTAATGATCGGACAAACAAACAGACAAACAGAGATTACACTTTAATATATAGATGACAAAATGTGAAAAAATACCTCCTTCCGTTGAATCCTCGACCTTTTTCCCTCTCTCCGCGCTCCCATCTCTGCTGTTCTCTATGCTGAGGCGCGCTCCACCACTGTTGTTCTCGACCCAACTGCGCGCCCCACCTTTGGCTCAAATTTCTCTGTCGGCGCGTGAACGGTCCCGAGGGCGGAGGACGGGCAAGGGATGGAGGTTGTCGGGTGAGGGAGGGTGGAGGTCGAGTGAGGGATGAAGGGTTGAGGGATCTAGGAGAGGGAAGAGCAGGTGAGGCACGGTTAACAAGATGCTCAAGAACTTCCTAAAATATGCGCAAATATGTAAGAAAATTTCTGCAAAATCTCGCCTTTTTACTTATTAATTCATAACAAAATTTTGATATTTAAAATTCCCTTATAAGCATCTTAATATTTAATTTTATCTTTTGAATAAAAAATCTGTACCTGTGAGCTAACCGAAAGTCGTCTCCGTTTACTCGGAGGAGCATCAGAATCAGATTTGATGGATTCTGTGTCAGAATTGCGCAGGATGGGAGAAAATAGATCCACACCGAGCTGGGACAAATCTAAATATATACATATATCAATATATATAAATATATATATACCACAAACTGACAGATATGAAAATTCTCATTTTCATGATATTGGCCGTAATAATGAATTTTTAAATAATTGATAAAAAGATGAATAGAATGATCTAAAATAATTGTAGGAATAATCAACCCCAACCCTTAAACCTTTTTACTTTCTTAGACAAAACCTTTCTCCCCTTGTACATCACATACATTAAATGCATCCTCTTTGTCCAAGATGATCCCCTTCCATAAAAACCTCCCTGTAATAAAATTAAGTATCTATCTTAATAAACCTTAACCTTGTAAACATATTTTAGTATTTGAATGCGATGACCGCTACGCCGGTCTGAGCAGTAAGATTATCTTCATAAATAAATGTCAGTTCGATGTAAACCTTGTCTTATTGCGGACAGGAAGAGAGTAGTGTTAGTTTTACGCTTTGTGTACTTAAAGGTTATCAGGAGAGACTGGCTAGATTTTTTACATTCCTTTTTCCATCTTACACATCCTCTCCCTCCACGTCCATCCCCTTATGCATGCATCCTATACATCCCCCCCCACAATAATTTGTCCTTCTTAAATCTNCAACTGCCCGTTTAATCTAGTAATGGTAAAGGGACTTGAGCTTAATTTTAAGTGAACCTTCAGTGCTAGGATGGCAATGGCCAGTGCTAGGATGGCAATGGCCAGTGCTAAGATGGCAATGGCCATCTTAACAACGGTTCCATTAAAAGTCTTGTCTGATCAGAACAAATTAGATATCAATGTTTTTAATTTTGAAAATAGAATATTTTACACTGTGGTTCCTCTACATTCTCTACAAAAGTGACTTGCGCAAATCTTTTTCAAGAAAAAATAAAGGAAGTAATTAGAATCTTTTCCATGTCGTTGGTCCGGTCAAGGTTTCAAGAGCACCGTTGTGAAACAGACATTCACCTTAGTATGAAGGATCACTTGAAACTACGCTTAGTCCCTTTAAAAACAAAATTTATTCAATATATCACTTTCTCACCAAATATTGACACACATAAAAGATTACAAAAAAAACTAGGGCAAGATATTATATGACAAAAGATCTCATTATATATTAAAGTTTTGTCCATTTCTTCCTTATTTGCTGGAACTTGAATGACCAATAAAACAAAAATTAGTTAAATGAAAATTGCGACAAAATCATTGAACCCCTATCCTATCTACATGGCAACATTTTGTAAATTATTTGTTCGTGTTAAACAAAAAATATTGCTGTGCTTAGAATTAATGTGCTTAAGTCTGGAATATAATTTGACAATTTTGAGAAAATTTCAGTAATATGTTTTGATTAGTAACTTACTTAGAAAATCCATCTTGAGACTTTTTGGGCGAAAAATGTACTACCAAGGGTGTATTTTTTCTCGAAAAATCTTTAACGTCATCCCCCCTTGAAACCCATTCTTTCCCAGAAGTTGTGCAACAATTTTTTTAGGGTTTAATTCGCAGAATTGGGGAAAATAAATAATTAAATAAATTAAAAGTTAATAAATATTTGGGCAAAAAGTATCAAAAATGTATGTTAATTCTTTCATTTTCATCAAAAATAATTCTTCAGTATATTTCAAATTTAAACTCGAGAATTGAGATTTGTAGATTCTATTAAAGTTGAATATGAAGAGTTCATCTCTGCAAAGGGTTCATTACTTTAACATAAAATTAGATTTAGAAAATCAATTTCAACTTTCTTCTTTACAAATACGGACATTTCCTGGACGAGGTTTAACAAAGGTTCTCTGGTTGATTTGAGTTAATTATTTAGAAAATATTTGAATAAAGACAGCTCGACAATTTAAGTTTTGGACTACATTTTAATAACCGATGAAGATAATGTTAAACAAGATTCATGAAAACCTACATTGAAATATTCCTAGTGACGTAAAAAGTTTTTTCTTTCAAAATATTGAATTTTTAGAGAATTTAGATTTTCTAACAAATCGTGCTTTAATTGTGATTTTTTCAACCGTGAATTAAAAAATGAGGAATGAAAATGGAATTCTGAACTAACAGCAGAATTCTTACAATCCTTAAATCGGATGATTATCGTTAAATTCGGAAATTTATCTGTTCAAATTGGTAGATTTTTAAATTTAAAAATAAGCAGATTATTTTAAAATTTGCATTTTGCAGGTCATAGTAGTCTGAGATTGAAACTATTGTGCAGATATTGTTAATATTGAATGCTTGATCTTGATATCCAATGTGGACACTTTTGAATTTAAGCTCTCAATTAAAGTTTTTCCTGCAGGATATGACCACCACGGGATATCATATCGAAGAGGAATCAAATTAATCCGCAGGTCTGCATAAGATTCTAAACACGGAAGTTTTGACTTAATGCCATCATACCAAAATGATTCTGAAAGAGACCCTTCACTAAATATAGGTTTGTCCATTATTTCAAAAAACTGAAAAGAATCCGAAACCAATTAGTGTTTACCTCCTTGGGAATTTGTCATTGCCATGAGAAGGTCGTTGCAGGGTGATGGACCTGCTCTGGCAGGAGGAGAGGTTCGGGAGGCAGGTCGAAATATCGGGGAGGTTCGTGAAGCAGGTCGGTAATATCCTGATCAAAACAAGCATGAATTAAAGAGTAAAAAAGTTTTGATGGTTATTATATCGTTAGAAATGACGAGGGTCAACCCAGACCGAAATATATTTTCAATAAATGTGGAACTAACATCTACTTTTTTACTCTACAGAGGTTTGGTCCATCACCATCACTGAATTTTAAAAAATTGAAATAATTTTTTAAATATTTACCCAATAATCTGTAAAAGTTTTCCTTAGTAAAAATTGAACAATTTTGTCTAAGTGCAGTGGAATTTATTTATAAATTGTCTGTGAGGGGGGTTTAACAATTTATGAAAGGTACCTGGAGAAGGGACACCGTCTGAGATACTACCGAGCCCAGGACTCAAGCTAAGAACTAAACCAGGGGGAGAACAGCCCTACAAATATTAAGTTAGTCATTTCTATATACAAGTAAAACAAACTAAAAATACATTTTTTTGGTGCAAATATGAAAAATAAAAGAAAGTTTTTTTAGATATATTACTTAAAAATGTAAAAAATTGCTTGAAACATAAGTGTCAAATAAAAATAAAAAGGAGGTTTCGAAATATTAATAAATTCAGCGTTCGTCCCAAATATTCAACAATTTAAATATATTGATATAAATAGCCTTTTCTGTAAATACCTTCTATAAACTTAAAAATAAGGATCTGAATCTTATAAATATTAACTTCAACTGTCGCTATATCATTTTCAGTTTAAAACACTGCGGGAGGGGAGAAGGGGGCATTGGTTAGATAATGAAATTGATCCGATTGTAGTTATCATAATATTATGTTCGAGCAAAAAAACATTTCCTATCCTAAAATCATACAGGTTTTATGCCATGGTAGTTTTTCAGTGTTTAAAAAATATATATAGCACCCTGAAATCTTTATTAAAACTGAGGTTAGGCTAAGCTTTGAGAAGGGAGGGGGGTAAAATATTTAAGGAGGACCCTTGCATAGAATTATGAACGTGAAATAGTATAACGTCGCACAAACGATTAAGAAACAGACATAATATACAGAAATATAGAATTCTTAAAAAAAAAACTTATTCTATAAACATATTTTCGCTTTTGTTTTGTAAGCCATTTTTTTCAAGTCCGCGGGGTCGCAATCCATCATGATTTTTATTAGAAAGGGGGAAGGGGGTGTCGCCTTCCCACCCACCCTGCCTCCTTGGGTACGCCCCCATGCTTCCGAAAATATGCATATTGTATATATTTTGACAGACAGGCAGATGGATAATAATATATAAATATTCATAACATTTTAGAAAATTTACAAATATACCAGGCTTAGAGAAAATGTTTCCAGAAAAGATAATGATCTTATAAATATTTTTTTTCAACAGGTTTAAACAGATCATAGTCAGCAAATACGCAACAAATCTAAAAACGATTATATCCCACAGGAGCCTAACAATCTAAGGTTTGCTCCTTTTATAATTTTCTAATTTTTATTTTGCATTTTTAATAGATATAATTGATAATATTTTTACACTTAGTCCGTAAAGTCCGTATTACGGCATCAGAACTTGATCCAATGGCAGTGTAGTATACTGGTCACTGCACTGCCATTGGCTGAAATTCTGGTGACATAATACAGACTTTACGGACTAAATGAAATAATATTATCAATTTTATCTAATAAAAATGCAAAATAAAAATTAAAACATTATAAAAGGAGCAAACCTGTGATTCTCAGGCTCCAGTGGGATATAATCGTTTTTAGATTGGTTGCATATTTGCTGAATATGATCTGTTTAAATAAATAAAAATAGAATTGTATATATATATATATATGAATTTTCGTATAATTTTGACAGTTATATATCAATTTCTCGAGACAGGAACATTAGATAGATGTCTTATATGTATCGTTCAGCGCCTGAGATTCTCAGGTTTCATCCTATACCCCCTTTCATTTTTCCTTTACTGTCCCTTTAAGAATGGGCCTTCTTTTAGTCCCGGAGACAAGGTGTGTGTGTGTGGGGGGGGTATCTATATAGTTTAACGAAACAAATTGATAAAGATTACAAAATAATGCGCATTTATTTATGACAAACAGACATGTTGATAACAAAAAAAAAAGAATTAACTATCCAAAAATACGAAGAAAATTTATAAGTAGATAAATTAAAAAAATAAAAATCATGCCAAGAAAGCCAATTTGTAAAAAAAAGTCTTATTATAAAAAAGGTATTTTTTTGAACACGATGTCAAACAAAGAAGTGTGATATCAGTGTTTGTTTAAGGATGGGCCTTCATTTTTTCCCAGAGGCGTGGAGAGGGGGGGGGGCGCAGTCATTGATTTTCTTGTTTGTACTTTTCGTGCTGTATGCTGGTTAGGCCTTGAACCATCTACTTGTATATAATATATATATTGTATTGTATAAAGATACAGTTGGCTGAACACAAGATACAATACAAACTGGTTTTCATGTAACCAAGATTATCTCAAGAGGGAGGGTGTCACCCACCATCCACACATCACCATTGACTATTTATTATAGCTCGGGAACCCAACTTTGCCTGGAAACTAAATTTTTGCTTTTAAAGTCAACCCGCTCTACTTAGAACTTTTGAACCTTTCCGTTGGTCTGCCAAGTCCACCAATCAAAGTTAAAAAAAAATCTGTTAAGGGGTTTATGACAAGCAGAAAAACAGAGACTACTACTTTATATATGTAAATTAAAGTATTAAACTATGTTTGTCTGTTTTTAAGTCCGATCATAACCCATGAACCCCTATGACCAATTTGCCTTAAAAATCTTATTGGAAAAACTGCACAACTACGGAGTGTTTAGTTTGGTTAAAAGATTTTAGGTAGAGTAGGTTGATTTATAAAGTGAAGTTTAGTTTTCAGGCAAAGCTGGGTGCCCAAGCTATAGTAAAAACTAAGTATTTAATACTTATATGCAATATAAGGATCCAGTTCTAGGTAGCTCAAATCTTCTTTTTGCCAAATAGATTGTTAAGTACAATAGATGGCAACGTAGAATTTGTACACTCTCAGTACAGCTGTATTCTGTCGTCACAAGTGTCAATTCAGTTTTTATGTCCGACAAAATTATCAATAATTGTGATAATTTTTGTTTTTCTTACAGTAAAATAAGTGCAATTGTATGTGTTCTTTAGTCTCTGTTTTTACACTTTTTTATTAATCTTGGAAAAAATGTCAACTAATGTGAGAAAATCTCGTTTTCCTTGTTATTTTTGACACTTGTGACGTTGTATATAATTTGTTCATTTCTCTGTTGCCATCTATTGTACTTGATAATCTATTTGCTTTTTGCAATAAATTGGAATGATGTAGCGACAAAATAACCAATTCTTTTCAAGAAAAGAGAAAACATAAAATTGTGACGGTATACTAATGTACTGTTACTAATAAATTATCGAAGTGTACTGCAGTTTCTAGAAGGAATAAAGTTAAAACCATCGAGTTGTACACCTAAGGTACGTTTTTTCGTGCGAACAAAGTTGTGGGGTTCCCGTCAGGGCCGGGGGGTACACAGTAATCAGTCGGGCTTAATTTTTTTCTATCAGGGGGGCTCAGCACCCGTTGGGGCCTGAAAACCCCGTGTAAATCAAAGATGTTTAAGATGGGGGGGGGGGCTAAGCCCCCCCCCCCCCCCCGTGCACGCCTCTGGTTCCCGCGATGTGCAGGAAGTATTGTTAAGTAATGGCTGTATTTGAAATGTATGAATGTTGTTGCTGTGCCTAGCTAGCTACATCTTCTTGGGTTCAACACCCGTTACACTTTACTCTTTTCAGACAATAGATAGATAGATAGATAGATAGATAGAAAGATAGATAGATAGTTAGATAGAAAGATCCACAGATAGATGGATGGATAGATGAATTTATATACAGAAAGATAGGTACGGGACTTAAATGTTTATTAATATTTTTTATATGTTAAAAAATTGCGGTTTCACTTTTTTCAAAACTATATTTACGCTCATGGGTTAGCTTTGCTCATCTTTCTGATAGTTAATTACATAGAAAGTTGATAGATAGATAGACAGACAGGGTGAGAAAACCAAAGTTATTTGGCTGGATTAAAAATTCCAAATAGTTTATTTCATCTCGTTACCTTTTTGATAAAGAGAGTTATGATTAAAAACATAAAAGATTCCTATCTAACGTACAATTTACTTCATAACGTGAATATTGACAAATTAAGGATTTTGAAGAATAGAAATGTGGAATTCGTACTGTCCCATATATAAGCTGGTAATATATACGTCAAATATTCGTAATGTCCCACATATAAGCTGGTAACATATACGTCAAATATTCGTAATGTCCCACATATAAGCTGGTAATATATACGTTAAATATTCGTAATGTCCCACATATAAGCTGGTAACATATACGTTAAATATTCGTAATGTCCCACATATAAGCTGGTAACATATACGTCAAATATTCGTAATGTCCCACATATAAGCTGGTAACATATACGTCAAATATTCGTAATGTCCCACACATAAGCTGGTAACATATACGTTAAATCTGTTGCAAAAAAAGGACGCACCATTGATAAAGTTCAAACTAGAGTGCAGTAAATAAGGATACTGACGAACCTAGAGCCAAACAGACATCGCATGTTCACAAGAAATATGGAAACCCATATCATTATTTACAAAATAATTCATTTGCAGTTTGTGGAAGAAATATAAATAAATCCGACTCAAGAGCAGTTGAGTTTTTAACGCTTTCAAAAAATTACAGTAAAATTATTTTTTAACAAAAGATATGGGGTTTCCTGGTCTATCTTCCATATTTAAAAATGACTTGTTTATATTATAAAAGTCTAATGATGGATTCTTGAAATTATATATACAATACATTGATGTTAATTTATAACCTCTAAATGTTAAGAAAATATTATAAAATAAAAAATTTGAATTATTTTTAACAAATATTATTAAAAATGAACAAGAAAAAATATAACGAAGCCATAATGGGTAATGTTCGTGAAGTGAGAAACTCTTCTGTTTTCGTAATTTCAAATGCCAATTTTCAAGGAATTTTAAGCTTTATAAATCATTTAAAAATAACTAATATCTAAAGGATCAGTTATTAGTTAATAACATGTAGGGTCATCTAAAGCCCAGGAAATACTAAAAGGGCTTCTAGGGTTTCTCACACTCCCATGAGCGGTTGGTTATGAAGAGGGNGAATTTTAGGGGATGGGGGAAACGCTATACCCGGGTTTGAATTTGGACTTTAAATGGTTCCGTTAAATTTCTCTCTACATGAGTCTACATTTTGGACAGTTTTACACAAATATTATCAATGCTTTCAAAAACTGAAAAAGCAGATGCAAAACTACTTTTAATTGTAAAAAAATGTGGGATTTCATGCAAATTTGGGGTTTTTACTTTTGCTAATAATTGTAATTCGCATGTTATGTAATTAAAAATAAAAAAATCGGTTAGTAACAATTCTACCATCAAAGCTGTAATTTGATAAATTGACAATATTAAATCCATTTTTAAGACTTGGTTAATTTTTTGCATCTTAACCATAATAAGATAAACTTGATCAGTTGGTAATTTCCTGGAGAAAGACTCCAAAAATCGTTCTCTAGGAATATACCGGTTATTTCTATAAAAAACATAAATTGTGAACAAAACAATAAAATAAAAATCTAGTAACCTGAGTATATAAATTAGAAGGCGGGGAACCATAACTATATCTTGAATCTGGAATATTAACCGTAGGACCTGCTCCGCCCATCCCTGGCCACGCCCCCAGGCCTGGCCTAGCCTGAGCCCCACCTGGGGGGCTGGGAACCAAGGTTCTAGGCCCCCCCGGACCATTTGAAAGCTGTGAACGGGGTCGTTTGTGACCTCTATGGGGCTCCGGAGAACATGATCCATGTTTGATAACCGGCATTTTGTTCTTCACTTCAAATTTTACTAGAATCACATGTGGGAGTAAATTTAACTGTCTAGATATTCACACAAAATCACTAACGGCAACAGAATCAGTCTGAAGGGTCACATCTGAAAGAAAAAAAGTATAAAAAGTTAATCTAGGTATATTTTTTAGTACAAATATGTTGTGTATTAATGAATTTCACATTTAAAGATTTTGAGTTCTTACCTTAACATTTCAGTTTCCACCATTGAGTTGAGCCCAGAGCCCTACATAATTCTTTACAGTCTTACATTACATCAACTGCTACAACGAAACTTTTAGAATAATATTTTAAACTAAACATTTTCTTTGATATTTGAAAATAGTAATTTTAAAAGGAATATTTTTCTTTAAACATTATAGAATATACCGTTGTAGAAACAAGTTTTATAAATTTTCTTCTTTTAGCGAATTTGCAAGAAAATATAAAATAACAAACTTCGTTGTTGCAGTCTTCCAAATTAGCTAAATAACAAATTCTCACCAATCCTAGTTCATCTAACAACATCTTCTCTTTCCCAGGAATCTCCCACTAAAAGCAGAAATCTGATTGGTTTAGATAAATCACGTGATTAAATACTTGTCTCTCATTGGTCTGCCGCTTCAATCGACCAGGCAAACATTGGGCCAGCCCGCAGATGAAAGGTATTTGTGATACGGAAAGGATCTCTCCTAAAGGACTGGGCCTTAAATCCCCCCTTGGAACAATTAGTTAGCAAGATAAGGATTTAATATTCAGACTTTCATCTTTGATAATCTACAAGTAGCCCTCACAATCAGGTTGCTTAGGACCCAGTCACAAAACTCAGAATATACTCAGGCGTTACTGCGCAGTTAGTCGCCATTTTATAAACAAGGTAACAAAGAGAATTTAATTGAGGTAATAGGGAAAGTATTTATGAACTTAAAAGCCTTGCCATGGGGAAACAAAAGGAATAAAAAAAATTTTTGGAAGAAAGTTTAACAATTTTAAATTTTAAATTAAATTTCCTTCGTTGTTATTGATGTCTAAACATTGTGCAACATGTGCGTAAAACTATGACTAACTAAATTTTATTTAGTAATTTCCTAGTGAACGATTTTTGGACTCCCCTTCCGCCCCCTACCTCCGACAAATTTAGTTCATGGTTATCATGTTTATCACATGGATATTGTTGGTCATGTGGCCGCAGCGCCTGGTCCCTTAGCCTGTCCTAGCCGCGGCGCTCGGTCCCCCTAGTTTACCCTAGCCGCAGCGTTCTGCCTTCTAGCCTATCCTAGTCGCAACACTTGGCCCAGAAGTTTTCATATCTCAACCTAACCCTGAAATAATTAATTTAAATGATCAAAATTTTGTTGAGAAAAAATTGGTCATGTCATGTACTAAATTCATAGGAGGGTGGTCCGAAAATCGTTCTGTAGGACACACCCCATTTTTATTGCATTAAATTAATCACTGCTTATCTGTTTTTAATATAGGTACTCCTATTATATTTAAATTTTGTGTCGTCTACTAATTTCATGCCATGTACTTCTTTGGGCAAATTTTATTTCTAGCAGATCTTTACTTGAAAGTGATCTCGTCATTCTGAAATGATCCAAATTATATATTTAATCGAAAATTAGCATTTTCCTAAACTATTGTCATGTACTTGAAAAGTTTAAAAGTAAAAAGTTATGCCAAATATATGAATATGATGCAATTCGAGTCCATCCATGATAAGTGATTAATTTTTAACTAAGTAACAAAGAATTTAAACCTGTATTTTTGTATAGTCTTTTCGACAAACTCGGCTCATAATTGATTGTAACACTCGCTTCCTCCCCCCCCCCTGGAAAAAAATACTTTATTAAAATTTCTGTTCTCAGTCATAAAAAAGTAAAACAGCTAAATCTTCTTTAAAATTCAAGTATAATGCGCATTTCCAGCAAACCATCTCATCAGGATATGAGTCATCCACTCTTATTTTCTCTGTTTCTGTGCTAACCTAAATAAAGTTGCTTATTATATGTATTTAACTATTTTAAATTTCGCAATTATTTTGAATAGATAAAGATCTCAGTAATTTTAAAAGTTTTTTCCCGGGTAAATTCATTCTCGTGTTATTAGAGCATCCCCCGTTTATATCATATTGAACGCAATTTTGACCCCCCCTATCAATTTTGTACATGCAGCTCATATGTAGCAAATTAATATTGTTGGACATTTTGCTTCAGCGCTTGGTCCCCTAGTTTGTACCAGCCGCGGCGCTCGACCCGCTCGATCCCTTAGCCTCGGTCCAGAAATCGTCTTAACCTAACCAAAACATGAAATAATACATAATAAATTTTATTATCGTTATCTTTGTTGAAACATAGACACTAATAATAGGAGGGGGGCGGGAGAGGTTTAAAAGGTACTATCTAAGACATACTCTTTACTTCCCCCTCTACACTAAAAAAATGAAGAAAAAACTGCTTATTTTCTTGTCCTGTACACTAATATTTTAACTTCTGTTAGAAGCTGTAAACGAGTTAGATCTTATTAGAAATTAAGAAAAACACTTGTGTTTTACAGCACGCAAATTTAATTACAATGTGAGTCATCTACGCTTATTTTCTTATTTTCTCGGGATTTCATTGTACCACTAACCTAAATATGGAGACCTTAACCCGGCCTTGTCGAATGAAAGATGCAATAAGTAATCCAAATTTCACCTGTTCAAAGCAATTGTTTTAACTGGTTCTCTGTCTTAATATCAGTGTTATTCTGACATTTGCCCAAATCTAACCTTTGTGTTTTAGTTGGACAGTATGGTAGGCTACAGTTCGAATCCAGGGTATAACCCTCAAACTGCCAACCTCAAATACAATGTCAAACCTCAGGGATCCCCATCTGGATCCCCTGCTTCCAAACAGAAGTCGAGCCTAAATTTGAATTCCCAAATTTACAGCCAGAAATCCTCTAAACCAAAGTCTCCATCGACCAAGTCTCACCAGAGCAATGGTTCTCCCAAGACCTTGCACAACAAGCAATCTTCCTCTCCTCGTCCAAGGAATTCTCCTTATAACCTAACCAAGCAATCTCCCTCTCCCTGTACCTTCAAGCAATCCCCCTCTCCCCGCCCTCTCATGGAACCCTCATCCCCCAAGCCTATTCCTGGAAAAAGAACCAGAAATCCTTCCTCCTCCTCCTCTGTAAGCTCAATGTCTATCTCCCCCTCTCCTTCCTCCCGGTCCCTCTACTCCCCATCTCGGTCCTCTCCGACAGTATTTGCCTCCTCCACCTGCTATCAACCTCCAGTAGCTGGAGCTCTACCCCTCCCTCCTCTTCAATGGACTGGAAGATGTGCTCCTGTACCTGTACTGGATCCAACTGCACAGCTTAAACTTCTCCTCAATGTGCAGTTTTAATCATAGACTGGTCGACCATGGAAATTATAGGTATTATCATTATTATGATAATTATTATAAATATTTAAAATATTATTTTTGATATTATAAGTATAATTGTTATTTTTATTAAGTATTATTACAATTGGCAAAGTTATTGCTATTGTTGAAGTTGAAGATTAGTAATGATTAATATCAATATTAAATTAACGAATATTAACATAATTATTATAATTTATTCTAATTAAGTAATATAATTAAGTATTACTTTAAAAAAAATTGATACAATCATTATCAGAGAGAGCTGATATTAATTTTCAGTTAATTAGACGACTTTACAATATAGTTATACGAATATGATTGATTAAACGATAATTACTAAATAGCCCTAGCCTTGCCGATTCCAAAATGTGGTCTGCCTTTTTGAGCGAAGTCGCCTAATCAGCTGTCAATTAACTCCGGGTCTTTCTGACTAAGTCTGTAGATACATACTTTTGTATTTCGAGAAAATAAATCCTCACAGTTTTTCCAGTTGCAATTTTGTTTCTTATTTTTATTGACAATATCAATTTTTTCGTCTGAATTTATTTCTTTTCAACAAAAAAAAAATATTATTAACAATTTTCTTGAAGGTTGAAACGTCACTGGTGATCCCTCACAATGTGCAATCTCAAGAAGACTTCCTGATGCATTATAAAATTGGTATTTTTCTACACTATTTTCTACTCCAAACACTTCACCAGTGATGTTAATGAAACTTCGGCGAGATAAAGGACTAATGGAATTCCCCAAGAAACGGCTGACATATTTTTACTTTTTTGAATTAGTTATTAAGCCTCGTGACCCGACCTTGTACAAATATTTAAACAACGTCGTCGAGATCAGATCCACGCTGTAGGTTAGGCCAACTACTCCTTTGTAAACACAGGTTATAGCTCGGAGAAGGGAGTTTAAGATGAACCACTTGGATCAAACCTATCAGATATTATTTAAGAATATCTGTTCTGTTTAATCTCAAATCCATTCTGAGGCCTACCTTCCCTCATACAGAAAATCGCTCAAGTCGCTAAGCTTTGAGCCGTATTTAAGAAGCTTCATCCCAACTGAATCTGATATTTATCTTGGAGAGAGCCATGTGAGGCCAAGGTCTAAGTTATTTACAAACACTTGGAATTAAATCTTCCCGTTATTATGTATCCCCCCCTGATACTTGTCAAGTACCCGGCTGTGAAGCATGAATCTTGAAGATTGGTCAGAATTCCATATTTAAGTCAACGTGCATCTGACAACGAGACCAAGTTTGCGGTTGTCGACTGTAACGCGCATGCGCTACTTTCTTAATTTGAAATGAAACCGCAAGCCTAGTCCCTTAATTGATAATCTGAACTATATTGGGTGTTACCAAACCATTTAAATGTTTCTGTAGTACAAACTATTACTGTACCCTGGACTCTGAAAGTCCTATTGCACAAGGTCAAATTTTTAGAAGATGCCATATTACCTGAAAATCTTCTGTTGTAGTTCTTAAGACCCCCGAGGCTAATCTTAAATGCAAGGACAGATTTTATTTTTACGGCAGCACATTGAAAGCATTCGGGTTGTATTCTAGGGTTGGCATTTATGTGGTGATATGAGTTCATGGCGGTAATTCGCATGAGAAAGACTGAAAGCCGTTATTGATCTCTCCTGTCCTTAATTTTTAGGTTCCCTCGCGGTGTACCATTTATCTTATTGTTTATCCGTCATCTTTTATGAAGAGTGAATGAAGATTTTTAAAAGGCAGATTTTGAACTTTCTTTGGTGTGTCTCTCAAATTTAATCTCAATGGGCGATTTATTTGAGACACACTTGTCCAGAATGGCCCTTTACTTTGAAAGCAAAAATTATATTTTCCAAAATTATGTGTGCAATGAATTGAGTATTTATTGGGGGAAGATAATCCACTGATTGGATAACCAACCCCTCTCTGTGATGTTATTAAAGCTAGTGAGCAACCTTCTGACCGGGAAAAGGTTTCAGAACTGATATTAGTTGATGCCTTAAATTAATCTGAAGATACGCCAGAGACTTAGGGATTTTGGAGGATTATTGTGTTTTAAAGAGAGATTTTTTTGAGGATTTTTTCAGCTTTGTCTTTCCAGTTTCTGAGACTTTTCGCCCTGCAGTTTATTATTATTTTTTGACTTAAAATAATGTTAAAAGTTAAAACCTAAAGAGAGAAAAAAACTAACTCTCATAAAAAGATCCTCAATAATGCCGCATTTAAAGGTGATATAATATGTCAAGAATAAACCTAGTGGCGAGGCCCCAGTTATTTATGATGTACAAATGAAACCAGCTGTATTGTGATTTTATGATATGTTCTCTGTAAGCTATTGTAAATTATGAACTGCCATGTTTTCAGTACTTACTTCCAAATTTCTTTGTCTTCCCTTTAACTACTTTTTCCCTTTTTTCGGCAGTTTCTTCTACTCTCTATCTTTTTTCTTTTCTTAAAACTTACTAATTTTTAAACCTACTTTTCATGGTTCTTCTCTTAGAATCAGCAACTTTATTTACTTCAACAACTTTTTCTTTTAAAAACTTTAAAATTTTTTTCGGGTACCTTTTTAGGACCCACCATATCGACCAATAAGAGAATAAAATACAAAAACCTGTGATCACCGGATCGCCCAAGCTCGGAAAAAGATCCATAAAAGCGATCTTTGTCTAAATATTGTCTGTTGCGTCTATCTAATATGTTCTTTTAGAATCAGCAAACTTGGATTAATGAGTACAGTTTTACTAGTTTATGATCCACCATATCTATCAATACANCATGTCATTATTGTCCAGAATCTCCTTCACCGTAGGAGGACATTTTTTCTTCCTTTTTTCTTTTTACTTAACCCTTCTTGTATTTTCTTCCCTGGGCTGAATTCTCTCCCCCCTCCCCTCAGGGGGGGGGGAGAGAATATACTCCCCTGCCAATATAGGACTTCACTTTAAACATTTTTCTTTTAAAACCTTTTATTTATTTCGAGTACCTTTTCAGGACCCACTATATCGATCAATAAGAGAATAAAATACAAGAACCCTAGGATCACCGGATCGCCCAAGCTCGGAAAAAGATCCATAAAAGCGATCTTTGTCTAAATGTTGTCTGACTCTGTTGCGTCCATCTAATGCAGGGTGTCCCACGAAACATGACAATAGCAAGACGACTTGAAAGTCGTCTTTGATATATGAATTTATTTATTTAGTCTTCTATCTACTTTTACATGTATGATTCTTGAAACAACTATTACATAATTTTCCTAGCCCTGGCATTTCCAAAAAGTGGTCTGCGTTTTTTGTGCTTTCAATATTACCGGAGATATAAAGAGTTTGGTTCAGATTTCAATTTTGTTAAAGAAAAGCAAAATTGTCGAAATCTGAACGAAATTCTTTATATGTCGGGCAATATTGAAAGCACAAAAAAGGCAGACCGCATTTTGGAACTAGGGGAATTTTGTGATTTTTATCTCTAAAAATTTACTTCTAAAATTAGGTTGGCAAATAAACACAGCAAATTATATCAAAAATCAAGACGACATTCAAGTCCTCTTGCATACTGTCATGTTTCGTGGGACACCCTGTATGTTATTTTAGAATTTGCACACTTATTGATTAAAACCGTTCTTCTATTTTTTAGAATGATCCACCATATCTATCAATACAAAAACCCACTCTACTCTCTAGAGAAGTAAAAGAATCCAAAGTACGTTACTTAAAAACAGTTACTTCTTTCAAATCCTTTTTATCTGTATCGGGTACCTTCTTAGGACCCACCATATCGACCAATAAGAGATAAAAATAATAAATCCTGTGATCGCCCAAGCTCGGTAAAAGATCCGTAAAAGCGATCTTTGTCTAGATGTTGTCTCTTTCGGCCATCTAATATGTTATTTAAAAATTTGTACACTTTGATTGATTAAAACCGTTCAACTATTTTTTATATTGATCCACCTTATCTATCAATACAAAACCCATGCCGATCAATAAGATATTAAAATACAAGAAACCTGTAATCGCCCAAGCTCGGAAAAAGATCCATAAAAGCGATCTTTGTCTGAATATTGTCTGTTTCGTCCATCTTCTGTGTTGTCCCTTTAGACTTATTTTAAAACAGTTTAATTCCTTTAAAATTGTTTTTTCTTTCTCAAAATTACCAGGCAGTTTTAAATAAATAATTATGATTTTTCTGGTACCTCTTTTCTAATATTATTAAGAGAGCATTCTTTGTCATAGAATCTGCGATCTACAACAGTTTTTATTCTTTAAAACCAGCTCTTTTCCGTCAAGGCAAATTTTCTTTAAATAAAAAAAGCTGATTATTTAATCAAGTACATTTGATTAGTTTTAGCAACTCTGTAAAAAATTCATTAAGTGATCTTCGTCTGAAAATGGATTGTCTCTTTCGACGTCCGACCTTAAAGTTCGTTTAAAATCCACAACTTTTTCAATCAATCAGCATTTTTCTTTTCTGTTAACAGTTATTATTTTCATTAACAACAATATTTGTCGGGTACCATCTATCCTAGCTAAATACATTTATCCTATCAGAACATGCATCTATCCTAGCTAAATACATTTATCCTATCAGAACATGCATCTATCCTATCTAAATACATTTATCCTATCTGAACATGCATCTATCCTAGCTAAATACATTTATCCTATCTGAATACATCTATATCCTATCTAAATACATTTATCCTATCTGAA